TTATCTCTATAACCAAGCCACTTTGGAGGGCAAGGAAGATCGCTTTTCCTACCTCCCCCCACAACATTTGCTTAACTTACAAGAGATGATTGATAATTGACTCTGATTAAATGACAAACAATTAATCGAAAAACTTATTTTTAAGTATCCGCAAGAAGTAGCCAGCCAGATCGGAGAGGTTAATATAAAGCAACCGCCTCTTAACTACTCTGCTTCTAGTAGCGGCCAAGAAGAAAATGACTTAGTTACGGTCTATACTCAACGGGCTAATGAAATCTTCGGTTCTTATTTACCGGATTTCGTTAAGGAAAGAATAACCCGTGAATGACGAATCATACAGGGGCGCTACGTTTTTATTTACTGGTTGGCTTACAAGGTGGTTCACAAAACTCATCAGGATGGGTCTTTGATTGGTTCTCGTGGCTCAATTGGTTCCTCTTTCATTGCCTACTTATGCAGGATTACCGACTTAAATCCGTTGCCTTTTTACAAGTTTTGTTGAAAGTGCCGTTATGCCAAACTTTATGAAACCAAAAGCCGGGTCTATTTGTGCTATGATTATCAGGAAAAAGAAAATTGTCCCACTTGTTCCTCCTTGCTAACCATGGAGGGTCATAATTTACCGTTTGAAACCTTTTTTGGCTGGGAGGGAGAAAAAACTCCTGACATTGACCTCAACTTTTCCGGTGAGTATCAAAAAATTGCGCATAATTATGTGCGGCAATTGCTTGGAGAAAAATCAGTTTATCGGATTGGTACGATTAATACTTTGTCCCAGCAAACCGCCGAAATATTTTACCGAGAGCACTTGAAATTACGCAAAAAACTCAATTCTGGTTTTAATGAAGAAAAGTGGTTTAGGGAATGGATTGACGGTGAAAAATTACCAGTGCTAGAAAAAAAATTAGCCCAAACCCGACAAGAAAAAGCCCAATTAGAAGCCGAATTGAAAAAGATAGAGAGTCAAAAAGAGTAAAAAGGGCCAACTGGGAAACTTAATCTTGGCTCTTAATGGTCGCCCCAATTCTTATGAATTGGCGACAGGCAACCATAGTTATTTTAGTGAACTACCCACCACTTATAGAAGTGGGGG